AGCAAACTGATACACAATATCATGGACGAGCTTGGCAGTTTCTCCTCTTTCTCCTGATGCTAACTTCTTATCTATTTCTAGAGCAACGATAGGTACATAACTGGTGGCCATGGCTACGGTTACAATAGCAACACTCTTCAGGCCTCGCCTTTCTTGCTTGGTTTCAGCACCAGGAGTGACAGATTGGATTTCGTCTCGGATTTTTTTGGCGTGTTTTCTTGAGATGAGGTAGAGTCTTCCATAAAGCGTAATCATGAATACACAGGTTAAAGCAACAAGAAGGTGCCACAGCGCACTTATTCCCTTTCCAAACGACGAAGGAATCGACGTCAACAATCCAAAGAGGAAACTTATCGCCCAGGCAAATAACACAGCCTTTTTGGTGCGCGACATCGATACGATGGTTACATATCGGAGCGGATARATGATGGAAGCATATCTATCAACGGTTATGAGCGATAGATGGGCGAAACTAACTGTGATGATTACGACGCCCGTGATTTTTACCAAGTTTGTACATTGCAGACCACAATGTCTTTTTCCTCGTGAGAGAGCGTTCAGAAGATTCAAAGCATTACTTGTCTGTAAGATGAGGCCGATGATGAAGTCCGCAACTGCCAAACTTGCCACGAGAATATTCGTAGGTACCCAGAGCTGTCTGTAAGCAACTACCGTCACAATGACCGTCAGGTTTCCCAGGATAGTTAGAATTTCCATTGCGATGTTGATTGTCAGCAAAAAAGCTACTAAATTGGAACTGTACTCGACGACATTGGTGATGCTCTCCACAAACTGAGTTTCTTGAGAATGAAGTATGGTCGTCGAGCGACTGATGGTTAAACTAGTATTATTGAAATTATCCATGGTCTGCCAGAAGATGACTCAAAGGCGCAACCGTTATATGCGGCTTTGCAGTTGCGCAATAAAGAATTCATGCAAGCCAGGAAATTTATTCCGTTATTGAAAAAGGACAATAACATTTTATCGGGGAAAAACTGCTATTATTTTGTTTGGAAAAGAGATGAGTAAAATAAAAGCGGCTGGCTACTAGTAAAGATGCTAAAAAATATTATGACATAAGACTGGGGTTTTTCGCGTTACTTCCAATCGAAACCGCACCACCCCCCCCCCCCTCCCTCCCTTCCAAAAAACTTTAAATCAATTATATGACTTACTTATATAAGTTCATTCAAGTATAGCCATTAATTAAATTATCGTCATTGGTAAAACATTAGCTAGACTCTAATTAGATAGCTCTTAACTGTTTAATTAATGAGGTCTAGACATTATTCTAAACAATTATTTCACCAAAGGCGAAGCGATCATCGGTGATATATTTACCAAGCCGCGAGTCTTCGAGGGTCGAGGTAAATATCACCATAATCACTGAGCCTGAGGGGAATAATTGTTTTAGTATAATTTTAGACTTGAATATCAGAGAAAAGACAAAATTCAGGATAAAAGAAAAAACGTCTTAGCATTACTTCCGATCTGGAAAACTTTGGAAAACCTCATAATAACCGCTCTAGCCCCAGCGGTGATTATCGTCTCAGAATCACCGGTAGCTCGACCAATCACAGCTCGAGAAACTCTAAATTCAAATCTAAAATTATACTRAAAATGTATACACTGATTTTAATAACCGTTGTCATCGCCCCGAAGGCAATAGGGAATAAGCGAGAAGCGATATGAGATACTGAGGTCATTCCAAGATCCAAGAATAGCTGGAATGACTTGTGTTTCTGCTTCAGTTCTTATTCTCGATCGTCAAGAACGTGGACCTTAGTGTTGGGACTAATTCAATGTTCTTTTTATTCAACGAAACCATTTTCATGTCGGAATGACATATATATATATTCCAAAATATTTAAACTGATTTTTAGTTGAGGACAAATGCGTTTAAACAATTTGTGCAGCAGGTGGTATCAGGATGAGAGAATTCAATGAGCCAATCAAATCAGTCGCAATGATGAACAAAAATCACTGAAAATAGTCAGCCATCACTGAAATTTGTCAGCCTCTTTTACGAAGGRCTCAAGTTCCATCTGAAACGTCAGTAAGTAAAGTATCTATTTCCTCTACGCTTTCAACTTTGATATAAGTTATTTTTACAAAGACGCCGCGGTCTAGTTTCATCCAGTTATACCTGTTSAGGAACTGTTCTCGAAAACTGGATGGATGGGTGGATGGATGGTCAAACCTTGGATAACTATAATCACTAACACAAAAAAATTTAAGATCTTGATATCAACCTTTTCATGATGTTTGAAAAACACCGTTATGCACATGTATAAACATAGAAAATAGATGCTGAGGACTGAAGTCGACGACTGCATGTGKGTACTGTTATATCGATGAATAATGTGGATATAGCAGTTTTCGCATGATGGTGACTGTAAGAATCTCAGTTCAGTAAGCGTGCCGTGCCGTGACCGTGATATTTTCTAGAATTTTAATTATGGTTGATATTTTTCTCGCGCAATGTAATTGGTCTCATGGAGCCATGACCTTGGCGTGACCGTGTCCGCGCCGTGTTTATTCCGTGTTGCGGGTGTTTGGTTGGATGGAGAGTAAATTCGCGCATGTGAGCATGTGATTRGTCTGGCGCATCCCTTGCCGTGTCACTCACGACCGTGTTCGTGCCGTTTGCTTTTTACAGTCATACGAAAACTGAAAAGTCATCTAAGTAATTACTATTTTTAATTCATTAAGTTTGTTTTGGTTTCTAGGAAAATTATGGGGTGAAATCGCTTCTTAATTTGTCGCTGTCGATCGAGAAATTTCATTCAGCGTTCGATTGATCGTTGGTTTTCATACCATTTGATTGGCTCCGAGTATTCTCCGACTACTTACTTACTTACAACTTGATGATATAGTAACTACGCTTCTTACCACAGGTAGCCCAAGCTTGGTTTCTGTGKTGTCATGTTATAAGAAATGAAATAAGAATTATTTCTTACTAGTGGGGGAAAAAATCCTTATTTATTATTGGGCTACCTGTGTTCTTACAAAAGATAGTAGCCAGGTTGGCGTAGCTTTTGTTGCATGTTGCATACCAAGCCCGAACTATGGGTGATGTGAATACCACCAGAGGAMATGTTCCTAAACTCTGTCTGCACATTTTCCGCGGTATATTTTTCTTTTCAAACTTTGTACTTACAACATGCGAGATGCAACATCCACTAACTTTTTTTGAGATAGCTGTATACATAACACAAACAAYATAGATGATAGGAGGGAATAGGAATAAAAGAATAGGAATAAAAGATAAAAATAAAGTGCTCACACAACCAGGAAAATATCCAATAATACTCTAGGTGTTATTGGATCAATCTCCAATCTCGTACCCAGAGCTTGCATTTCTTCTGGACTGCGGCGAAAACGAGGGCTCTGGCGTAATTCATTTTATGSCGCATGCCCAATATTCCGGAAGTGAAATATAATCAATGAAAATCATGCTTTCAAACAGAGTTTTGTGTTCACTTGCGATTTAGATGGAAATTCGAAATCGGGAACATATTTCTTTTAATTTTTGAGTCTTTGAACGCATATTCTATTATGAAGTCCAAGAGAYCCTGGTCTAAAAAAATAGTTTATGCCAGAGCCTCGTTCTTTGCCGCAGCAGGCCAGAAGAAAAACAGGCTCTGGGTACGAGATTTTATTTCTTACTGCGCATGCTCGAGCATGCGTAGAAYTAAATAAAGCCATTAGGTACGAGATTGTTATTGTATCTAATGCATTCTTTGGAATGAAATTAATAGAGAATTCTTTTCGTATTCAAACAGTGAGCGCCAAAAACTATTTTCTTGAAGAAAGGCTATTGTACAAGGCTAAAATCTTGTTATTCAGAAAGTTTAACTTGTTTGGAAGTGGAGATGATCGATGAAAGTGGAATCAAAGTGTTAACCCATGGCCAAAGCAAAAACTTTATTCGAAAATGAGGTTTAGGTCCTCATTTGCTTATTTCCCATGTATTTTCTATAAAAAAAGCCTGACAAAGCAACATTCTAACACAAATGCAACAAAACATCTTTGTACAACTGAAAATACCGCTTCAAACAGGCATTTTATCATAGTACATCAGTTTCTAACTGTTTAAAAAAGGTTTTGATGTTAACCCAAAACRAAAATTGAGATCAAAACTCATACGAAAGTATAGTTTTTGGCGCTTTTTGCCATTATTGCTCTCTTATTGAAAAAAATTTCCTCTCATGTCTTAAGCTCATAAGGGGCTAGAGTGTAAAGCTGTAACCCCAAAGAGCTCTTCGAGTCAAAAGTACTTTACATACATTGTCATTGCTGATGTTTCGTTTGATAGCTATAAAATTAAAGACTTTCGCGGGCATTGTTTATGTGCATTTGCTCTGCGCATAATGGYGTGTCGTAGTTTTTTAGATCAAGCTTTGTCATAATCAGAGCGGCCGTCAATTTTGATATTTTCCATTCCGAAATAAGGTCAATATTTAGATCTGAACATCATAATAATATATTTCTTGGGAACAAGAGATAATTTTCAAATAATTATTAGAAATAATAACGGAACATKATGCAAATCTCCAGCCCCCTCCTGAGAGGCCTCAATTATATATATATATATATWTTTTTGATCTAGAACAAACTAAATAAATTATAGTAATCATAGAAATGTGCAAGTAAAAATATGAGAAATAATAGAAAAAGGCAAGGAAAATTCTTAATTCCATGAAAAAGCTTGTTTGATTTCATTTATGAGGCGTATTCTCTATTCCTTCCTAATTTCCCGCAGCTTCTTTTACGACAATTCATCCAACAACGCCAAATTCTAGAGCAAATTAAGCAGCAATTGAAACTGAATACTGAAGAGCATTCTCTTTTTCTCTCTCAGTTTTTCAGTGTCTGGTACGTTCCTATCTTATCTTCCCGTGTCAGTACTATATCGTAGGTTCTTTCGACTGCTATTTTTAATTTTGAACACCGACTTCAAATCTGAAAATAGCTATCAAAACTTCATGGAAAAAGGAAATCYACGAAGACCATTCTCTCAGTTTTCAATCGGTCTAGTTCATTCCTCTCTTGTGAATTTTTTATTTTCCGGTTCTCGTTCTATTTCTGAATTAAGATGAATCAACAACAAATAACTATATTCGACTCTCAATGCAAAGCAGCATCTGTATCGGCGCGAAACAAGTCAGTAGGAAAACAATTTTTTTTGCATTATTATCTGGTTTATCTTGGTTCATCACCTCTTGTTTTGTCTTATTTCCTACTAATTCCCACAACCTTTTTTTTAATAATGCGAAGCCAACACCACATTCGACTCTCGCCCGCACAGCTATCAAAAATTAACGCTAAGGGATGGACCATTAGATAATTGATGGGGGGGGGGGGGGGTTAAGCAGGAATTTTGGTTGCATGATATTTATTTTATTGGCTCAACCCTTGCACGTTATTTTTTGCGTACAGTTTGATATTTTTCTTCTAGCAAAAGAGGTGGCACGATTTTCCTTTTTTTTTTTTTTTTTTTTTTTTTTTTGAGGTTAAGTGCTTGCTCGATATTTTTTTGGGATTCACGCAACCCCCCCCTCCCCTCCCCCATCAACTATCTAATGGTCCGTCTCTAAATACAAGTTTCTAAACAACAATCAAGAACAATGAACGTAAAAACAAAAGGAAAAATAACCTATGGCTTTCTATAGACTGCTTTTTCTAGACTGCCYTGGTTAATCAATTTGTCGTCCGATCAACATTCTACAAACACAGTTGGTAACCAAGTGAAGAACATTCGCAAAAACAATGGGTGCTTATCTCATCTGCAGACGTTAATGGTTGACAAAAAGACTAGCTATTATCATACCGAACCATCGCAACATTTTACTTTGAGATGTCTTTCCTCGATATTTCTTTCAATTAACTGGCATGCTTACTTGCATTCAAGTTCARGTTCTTAAATTGATTGGTCGATAAAAATAGGTAAAAATATTGGACCAAATGACCGACACGCATTTGAAACTAAGAGAAAAATGAAGTAGAAAACCAACAACAAAAGATTCTGCTTGAATTTTTTGAGTCAATAACAAAGGTTATATGTCTATTTTTAGGTTACGCCGTTGGTAGGCACGCTTGTGATTCATTTTGAACGCAGCCTCAGTTTAATCGCCGGCTTAGCTACGTTTTAAACGTTTGGATCACGTGAACTCTTCCTTTTTTGGGAGGGATGAGGGCTTTTAACCAGCAATTTGGTCGAGTCATGACCAAATTGTTCCATACTATCTCCCAAAAGTCATTTCCGCAATATCCAAAAGAAAGCTAAATGTGTCTTGTCGTGAACGAAATAAAGTGTCGATTAATATGGGCCAACGAGCATCGTGTGAGCATTTAAGGGTCGCCTAAAGTGCCGTTTGATTTTCTCCATTATTCTATTCCTAACTGCAAGGATATTATTGCGTTTAATAGAAAACATTAACAGAATATAATAAGACACGGATTTATTACGAATGTTCGTTTGTTGACCATTTATATTTATATTTTAATTTATATATTTTCTTTTAGAGTTTATCCACTTAATAGTAGAGCACTCGCGCAGCCAAGATATCCAATACAACATTGACACAATGACAGCCCAGGACTTGGCTTTWAATATAAATAATTTTCTCTCTTCCGTGCAAAGTAAACAAACACTAGTCACGGTCTATGAATAATTTAAATCGTTATGTAGTAATATATATATTGAGGGGAAAATATATATTTCTAAAATATCATACTGCTGTATAGCATAGATGCGAAACCGATAAATAACTACTTTATGCAATTGCCTGGTTATATATAATTTCTATTAACTTTCTCATAGAAAATTTCGAATAAAATCGAAGGTGAAGCTTTATATGCTGCTCATAGCAGCCCTAAATCCCTTAAATTGTGGACTAAGAGAAAATCGTCCACCTGTTTGGAGTTTGCTCTACACAAAGCCGATCGTCTTCGCTGCTCTCTTACAGACAACTTTGGCTGCTCTGTTTTCTCATCTTCGTTTACTTCTCCCTTAGCTGAATCTAAAGAATTGATCAAAATTTGAATCGAAGGTGGATTTTGGCTTTCGCGACGTTCTTCAGTGCTTGAATTTCGTTCTGTTGATATTTTGATGAGTGGTGCGGAAGAGAGTACATCGGTAGATACAGTTGTGTCAAACAAGTGGTCACTTGTATCTCCCGAAACTTTTTGATCTTCCATTAAGTTAAGGTTTATATTTTCTGAATCATTCATGTTGATATCAATGTGACAACGACTTATTGGTCTCGGGCTCCGACATATTGAGATAAAGCCACTTTTTTCACTGCCCCCTAGACAACTTTCAGAGGGATTTAGAAACAAGTTAGTTTGAGGCACATTGGAACGAGATAAAAGAGAATAATCTGCAGTTTTGTTCGCATGGACTTGATCTTCTAARCTTTCATTCTTGCCTTCGTTCGAAGTATCTGAATTAAATCTTCTAAACTTTGAAAGTCTTCGTCTACTGAACGGTCCAGCACCGGTCCGATCGGTTTTTGGGATCAGGCCTGGAGAAGAAGCAGAAATTAATCCATTGTCATTTTCACTGTCTGACAAAGTCCGACTCGATTTCGCGCCACATAAGAAAGGATTGGAAGCGTTTGGAGTCGTAGAAGGCCTTGACGTTAAATTTCCTGAACTTCTACTTTTCTCATCCATTGTTAACACGGTTTGTTGTTGGTTTTTCATGTTTTTAAGACCGGAGTACCTTTTGCCRACTATCTTGAGTGGATTATCCGTATTTGTTAGAACTGCAGTCTGCCTGTGTAAAGAACTGCCTTTTCTTTTATAGTAAAATTCTTCTTCCGTTGAAACTTGACTCGACTGACTTGCTYTTCCTTTCGAATTCACTTTGTTGCCTTGGATTGGAGGCAAAACAGAAAATTTAGTAAAAGAAATATCATTTCGATCSATCTGATCGGTCCCCGGAGAGGATGCCGATTTCTGTAAGTCATCATTTCCAATAGTTTCTTGAAAGACGAATTCATCGGCTGCATCATAATTTAGTTTCGCCGTATTCAAAGATTCCGTACTATTTTCAAACCTGTTATATTCGATTTTGGGTAAAAATAGCTTTTTCCCTCTTTGTGTCCATTTCGGTGAATCCATCTTTTTTGCACTCAGTTAATACGCATCAGTCGCTTTCAATGTAACTAGCATACTCTAGACGTGGAAAATTCTAGCTTTAAATTTGTTTTTCTATCGTAAATCTTATTTAAGGTATTTTCTTCGCYGCTATATTCTAGAGTACGACATCTGTTGTGAGCGAAAAAACTAATTGCAAATGTAAGCATCTTAGAAACAGGTGCTCCATATATGGTAACGTGGTCAACATTTTGATCAGTTCACAATAACTCAGCTGCAAAACGCTACCACGATGATATTTTTGCCTGAAAGGCTTCTATTTCTTTAAATCGCTTTAAGTGTTTAAGGCTTTCCGCTAGATGGATTGGGTCAATTTTCCATCAATTTTCCAATACAGCTCACGGAACTTTTGCTCAAAAAGTAATCTTAAACAGTTAATTTCCATATGACTATCATTAAATACAACTGGAGAATAAAAGCATTACTCTCACTTGTAAAAATCTTGAAAGCACTTTTGTGTGCTCGCTTCTGAATAGAAAGTTGCGATGTGGATTTGGCATAATACCCTGAAAGTTTGATCGATGAGTATCTGCCTGAAAGTGTACACTTGACCGAATACTTTACCAATACTGCTAACATTCGCTCTGAATAGACTTTGAAGATACACAGTCATGTTTGTTTTTAATTGGGAAAGCTCAACTAAAAATCTTTTTCAAGAAAGATATGACGTATTTCCCAAAAGAATTTCAAAAGAATTTCTTAAAGCCGAGGAGCGAGACTCCTCGCAAGACGTTTTTTCAAGGAGTTTTCCTGATATGATAGAAATCAATGATCCACTGGATAGGCCGTTTATAACATTTTGCGGTTGCTCTCTTTCGGCAATYGTCACGATGATCATTCAAATAAATTGATGGCTGCCATTTAGTTAGACATTGCATTATCCATTCTCTTACTGTTCTCTGTGTATATTGAGTATCACGAAGAGAAATCTCCGGAAATTAAAACTTCATGTCGTTATTAATCATAATTCTTAGATAGTCTGATCTACGAGGAACGCGCACTAGCTCACTTAATTCTTGTGTCAAGCTTACACCAAACATTTCCCTTTCCAGTTGTTACAGTTCATATAACATATCCAAACTTGTCACCACAAAGTAATAGCGGTCTCAATCTCATGAAGAAATCGAAATATGCTCTGTAATTGGGGCGGTTGACAAGTTCTTATCTATTTTAATGAAAAAAGCTGACCAATCAGAACTGCCATTCTTTTTGATTTAGAAACCATTAGCTATATTTAGGCGAAGTAAAATTGATGATTAAGAAGACTCTTGGCATTTTTTCCATTGCACCACATCGAGTTTGGCGGATGCGTTCGAAGTTAAATTTGAATTTCGAAGTCCTTTGTGCCAAAAAAGTCAAAGTTTTTGAGAAACGCTATATCATTCTATAACTGGGATAACAAAAAGGCTCTTTGTGACTAAGTCCTGTCCATGGATTATACGAAATATGGGCTTCCTGTGGAATTGAAGGGAACTTTCGCGCCGAAAAACCACGCGCTCGCCTCTCCAGGTCAGTAAGACCTCGAGCTCTTTCATAATGTGAGATTTTAAAATGTAGAACTAGATCTTCCACAGTCTCTCGCTCGTCCGTTCCGTCTCCACGCTTAGAGACTGTAACGGTACAATGACCGAAAGGACTTATGGGTCCCGAAAACTTGGACCCGGCGTGCTTTGGGAACCAAAATACTCGTCCACAGTCTCTCTCGTTTCAATATTTTCAATATTTTAAAGATGGCGGCGAAAACGAGAGAGACTGTGGACGAGTATTTTGGTTCCCAAAGCACGCCGGGTCCAAGTTTTCGGGACCCATGAGTCCTTTCGGTAGAGTCTACCTTTATGCTTCCCTTTCGCCCCGCCCCCTCGCCCCAACCCCCCTCCCCAAGAGCCGCTACGCAGGCTAGATTTTTGCATCTTGCAATACTAAACCTCTAATACTAAACTTCAAATGTGTTAATGTATTCATATGTATATAGCATCATCACAGAAGAAAATGTACCGTAAAAACGTGCAGACAAATTTTCGGAAAGTCGCATGTCGTCGTGATTATCACTGAGTAAACAAATGTCAGTAAAAGTCAGTACATTTGTCCATTTGCTTTTCCACAGGCAGCCCAAACAAGGTTCCTGTGTATGGTTTATGAGGGAATGTATGGGAGTTATGATAAAGTTACGAAAATAAAATGTTTCACTCAACAATTTGCTTCAAAACTTGTTGCAATTGTTGCTTTTACTTTGTTCAGTCTTCTGGCGAAGTTTTAGCGCGATTTGAGGCCGTTTAGTGTTTTTTTTTTCAAAATCCGCTCTTCTCTACCTAAGTAAACCATACACAGGAACCTTGTTTGGGCTGCCTGTGGTTTTTCCAACCGTAATTTGCTACAGGTATTTGTGAGATGTATGCGTTATACATCGCCAGCGGTTCTGGCAAGATCTGAATCTGGAGTAGACGTGCTAAGGGAAAAAGTAAACATAATCATTAGATAAAGGAAATAATAAAGCGTAACAACATCAGCGTATTTACTTACACCAGGGAGGAAGGAAAAATGTTCTTAGTTTGGGCTACCTTTGTCATGTACGCGTTATAAATGGTCAGCGGTTTTATCGATTCTTCTTCATTGCATAACGTGGGAGAGAGTAGTGTCTGGAGTGGTATTGAAAAGGGAGAAAAAAACTAAACTCGAAGGTCTTTATCATTAGAATTCTTTAAASAAGAATTAATGGCCCTGTGCTTACGATTACTGCGATCTGGGATACGAAAATCTCTTTCTGTTTTGACTTACCAAGGGTCTAAGAACTCGACGCTTTATACAACATGGCCGCGTGCTACACAACTAACGGCGAGCTGGAATATTCGTTTTCTCAGCTCTCTTCAAAATCAGATAGAGTTGACTCCAGAAAAGGARCTTGAGAAAAACAGGAGAACTATCTTTGTTGGTGGATTTGAAGCAGGAACAACGGAAGATATCTTAAGGCAATAYTTCGCAAGCTTTGGAGAAGTTCAAAGCGTACGTATTGTCAAAACCTTTCTTGGGTACTCAAGAAATTATGGTTTTGTGTGCTTCAAAGATCCTGAAGTGGCAGATGAAGTTCTTGAAAAGAAGCATGTTATTTTAGATAGGGATATCGATGTTAGGAGAGCAAAGAAATACCGAGTTGTTTATGTTGGTGGYTTACCCTCACACTTTACTGAAAAAACTATAAGAGATCATTTCTTRCAGTTTGGTAATGTTGAATCGGTTCAGTTTATTGACAACGCCAAGATAAAATCGAAATCAGGTTTTGCTTTCATTACGTTCAATGATGTTAATGATGCTAAAAAAGCACTTGAACAGGAAAAACAAGAGATTGAAGGATATGAAGTTAAAGTCAAACCAMGAGATGCATCTGATAGAGATGTTGAAGCTGAGGTCTCAGACTCTAAAAAACTAAAAGTAGAAGGTCTTCCGTTTGAGACTACAGTGGAACAACTAAGAGACCACTTTGAACAGTTTGGACAACTCAARGCGATTAATCTTCTTATTAACTCCAAACGAAAGATGTGTGTTGGGATATTACTCTTCGAAAGCTTGGAAGGGGTCGAAAATGCATTAAGTAATGAATATCATGAAATTGAAGAATGCCCTGTAAATGTTGCTAGAGTTCCAGACAGTGTTAACTTTGGTACAAGAGAGAAGGCAATTTTCATCGAGAATCTTGCAAGCCAAACAACAGAATCCACCATACTAAATTACTTCAGAAGGTTTGGCCAGATTGCCAAGGTCCATTTGGTGAGGAATCCCAGCACTGGTATAAGTGAAGGTTGTGGAGTTGTGAAATTCMGAAGACCTATACCTGCAGAACAATTTAAGAATATTTCAACACACCTTATTGAYGGTACTCCTGTCCAAGTACGTCGCCGTGGCCTTAAGCTTCGTCCAGCTCTGGCTCTCAATGAAATAAGTGGATTAAA